CAAGGCCGCGGGGACGGGTTGAAGGTGACAGGGAAGGCAGCAGAGCCACGGGTGAGAGGAGTTGTAGGTGAAAGGACAGGACAGCAGGGATATGGTGATGGGTTCTGGGTGCCAGGGGCAGGGTGGCAGGGCCACGGGTGGCTGGGATTTAGGCTTACAGGGACAGGGCAACAAGGACACGGAGGAGGGGTTCCAGGGCTCAGGGACAAAGCAGTAGGGTGACAGAAGCGAGGTTGTGGGTGACAGGGCAGCAGGGCCATGGGTGGAGTTCCAGGGGGCAGGAACAAGACAGCAGGGTCACAGGTGATTGGGTTTGGTGTGTCGGGGACAAGGCAGCAGGAACATGGGTGATGGGGCATTTCAGGTGACAGGGACAAGGTGTCAGCATCATGGGTGATGGGCACTGGCTGCAGGTGAGTGGGTGTTGGGTGACAGACACGTACTGGGGTGTCAAGGTGGAGCATAGGGTGCCTGGGCTGAGTGCAGAGGAATGAACGGACACATGGATGGCACTTTGGGGACTGGGTGGGGTGACACCCCATCCCTTGCTGACACACCTCCCAGCAGGGAATGACCGTGGCACCCATCGTGGCCAACCTGGGGCCGCTGGAGGACTTGACACTGACCCCCAACCCTGACGAGGTGGGTGAGGGTCTGCACCCCCTTCCTGGTGCCACTGAGTGTGTCACACTGGTGCCACTGCAACAGACATCTCTGGTGATCTCTCACGTGTGCTGACAGGTGGAGGAGGTGTTCACCCTGCCCCTGGCCCACCTGCTGCGGGAGGAGAACCAGGGCTACACCCACTTCCGTACGGCCACTGGCTACAGATACACCTTGCCCGTGTTCCTGAACGGCCCCCACAGGGTGTGGGGGCGCACAGCCAACGTCCATGCGCTCACAGCTCACCCTGGAGCTGCTGGTGCCCGGACACTACCACAGGAAGACCCACGTGCCACCCCGAAAACCTCAGGGCTGAGGCAGGAGAGGATAGGATGGGTTTGGGGGTCCCTGTGCCTCAGGTGTGGCCACCTGTGAACGGAAGAACCAGCACTGAGCCCAGCAGTGATGTCCCACACTGTGATTCAGTAAAAGCCATGTTTGGAACTGCCACAGACTCCGAGTCATGGAGCAGGGCCAGGACAGCTGTCCCCTGGCACTGGTACAGGAGGTGTCCTGGGAACACTGTGGCAGGGACAAGGAGTGTGGGGTCCTTGAAGAGGGTGTTGTGCTCATGTGATACCTCCAAAACCATTGCCTCTGCCCCACTCCCAGTCCCAAAGAGGGGCTGTGGAGTCTCGTAGAAAGCTAGGAGCTACCCCCAGGGCCATCTAGACCCTGGCTGTGTGACCCCATGATCCTTGGGGATATGAGGGCTCCCCTACACTCCAGGCCCACCCCCCAAGCAGTCCCTTCCCGCTATTTTATGCCCACAATACAGCCTGTGAGCACAGCAGTGTTTATTGAGGACCCTCAATAGAACCCCCAAAGTGCTGCCAGAACCTCCTTCCAGGCAAGAAATGTGGTCCTGAATCCTTATGCTGACGCTGCTCGGGCTTTGGCCTCCCCATAGCGCCGCATCCTCTCTTCCAGCTCGGGGCGGAAGTGGCGGATGAGACCCTGCACGGAGCAAAGGAGCTGGTTAACAGGGTGGGGAAAGGCCTTTGGCCTCCCAGATGCCCTCCCAGCCCATCCTGGTCCCCACCTGCACAGGCCAGGCTGCGCCATCACCCAGGGCACAGATGGTGTGTCCCTCGATCTGTTTGCTGATCTCCCACAGTGCGTCGATTTCGGCTGCCTGTGCATTGCCCTGCACGAACCGAGCCATCACCTTGTTCATCCAGTCCACACCTGCAGGGATGGGAAGGGGTGAGTGACTTGTGGTGAGGCCCCCCCCAGCCCACAGACCTCCCCTCATCCTGCAGTCCCCTGTGCTCACCTTCCCGGCACGGCGTGCACTGCCCACAGCTCTCGTGCTTGTAGAACTCGATGAGGCGAGCAATGGCTTTGATGATGTCAGTCTGGGGAGGGAGAGGAGGATGAGATGAAGGTGAAAGTCCCAGGATGGGCAGGGAGGGGGCCTGTCCCTTACAGATTTATCCATGACGATGACGGCAGCTGTGCCCAGCCCACTCTGCGCCTGCACCAGGGAATCGAAGTCCATCAGCACCGTTTCACACACCGACTTGGGCAGCAGTGGCGTGGATGATCCCCCAGGGATGACAGCCAGCAGGTTGTCCCAGCCCCCACGGACACCCCCTGGAGAAAGGGGGGTCAAAACATCTCGAGCCTGCTCCAATCCAGAGTGGCTCAGCATGGCCATCACACCACTCACCAGCATGCTTCTCAATCAGCTCCTTCAGTGGCACTGACATCTCCTCCTCCACCGTGCAGGGGGTGTTGACATGCCCCGAGATGTTGAAGAGCTTTGTGCCAGAATTCCGCTCCCGCCCGAAGCCGGCAAACCAGGCACCACCACGCCGACAGATGGTGGGGGCCACTGACACTGTCTCCACGTTGGCCACTGTGGTGGGGCAGCCAAAGACACCTGGAAGCAGTGGGAGCTCTCAGTGGATGTGGTGTCGGATGTGTGGTCCAGGACATCAGCCTGGGGATAACCAGCATAGCGGCTCCAAGGTGCAGCCATTCAGGAGCTGTGGGAGCACAGTGGGGAGGGTGAGCCATACCCACGTCAGCAGGGAACGGGGGCTTCAGGCGGGGCTTGCCCTGCTTGCCCTCGATGGACTCGATGAGCGCCGTCTCCTCGCCGCAGATGTAGGCGCCGGCACCCCTCA